TTGGGGTTTGGGGTTTAGGGTTTAGGGCTTTGGGGTTTGGGTTTAGGGTTTAGGGTTTAGGGCTTAGGGGTTTAGGGTTTAGGGTTCAGGGCTTATGGAGCTTAGGGCTTAGGGGTATAAGGGATGAGGGTTTAGAGAAAATGGGTTAGAGTTTTAGGGCTTTCAACCTAGCGGCTTTAGGGCTAAGGCCTTTGGGTTTTAGGGTTTAGGGTTTAGGGCTTTGGGTTTAGGGTTTAGGGTTTAGGGTTTTAGGGCTTGGGGTCTATAGGGTTTTAGGGTATAAGGGATGAGGGTTTAGAGAAAAGGGTTTAGGGCTTAGGGTTTTAGGGTTTAGGGTCTATAGGGGTTTAGGTTTTAGGGCTTATGGGGTTATGGGTTTAGGGTTTTAGGGTTTAGGGTCTATGGGGTTTTAGGGTTTGGGGCTTAAGTGTTTTAGGGTCTAGGGTCTATACGGTTTAGGGCTTAGGGTTTTAGGGTTTAGGGCTTATGGGGTTTAGGGCTTAGGGTATAAGGGATGAGGGTTTACAGAAAAGGGTTTAGGGTTGAAGTGATTTAGGGTGTATGGGGTCTAGTGTTTACGGGTTTAGGGTTTTAGGTTTTAGGTTCTATAGGTTTAGGGCTTAGGGTTTTAGGGTTTAGGGCTTTATGGGGTTTAGGGCTTAGGGTATAAGGGATGAAGGTTTAGAGAAAAGGGTTTGGGGTTGAAGTGTTTTACGGTTTATGGGGTTTAGTGTTTAGGGTTTAGGGTTTTAGGGTTTAAGTTGTTTAGGGTTTATGGGTATTAGTGTTTAGGGTTTAGAGTTGTAGGGTTTAGGTTCTATAGGGTTTAGGGTTGCATTAGGGCTTAAGTGTTTTAGGGTTTAGGGTCTAATGGGTTTAGGGTTTAATTAGGGTTTTAAGTGTTTTAGGGTTTAGGGTTTTAGGGTTTAGGGTTTAAGTGTCTTAGGGTGTATAGGGTTTAGGCTTTCTGGCTGTAGGGTTTGGGGGTCTAGTTATAAATTATAGGGTTCCGGCTCTAACGTTTAGGGCCAGTTTTAGGGTTTTGGGCCAAACCCTAAACCCTATAAGCCCTACAACCCTAAAAACCCTTAACCCTAAACCCTAAAACCCCAAAAAACCCTAAAGCCTAAAACCCTAAAACCCTAAACCCTAAAACCCCAAAAACCCTAAACCCTAAAACCCGAAAACCCTAAAGCCCTAAACCCCCCCAAAACAAATCAAAGCGGCCCCAAATCATTACGTTTATCGGGGTTTCGGGTTTAGGGTTTAGGGATTAGGGTTTAGGGATTGGGGTTTAGGGATGAGGGTTTAGGGATTAGGGATTTATCTACAGCCCACATCGTGTTTTATGAAGCTCAAACTGCCATAACCTCTGAAACTCCAGACCCAAAACCTCAATGTCCAAGCACCCCAAGACCCTAAACCCTAAACCCTAAACCCTAAACCCTAAACCGCCAAGACCGTCAAGATCCAAAAACTCTAAACCTGAAGCCCCCAATCCCCCACAACTTCAACGAACCCTCCCTCGCGATCCTCTGAACATCTTGCGCCCATCGTCTTTGGTGTCCCGGAAGTCCTCAAGACGCTCTGCCAGGGGGCCTCACCGTAGGGTTTAGGGTTCAGGGGTTTAGGGCTTAGGGTTTAGGGTTGAGAGTTTACTGTAGGGCTTAGGATTTAGGGTTTAGGGCTTAGAATTTAGGGTTTACGGCTTGGGGGTGCTTGGGGTTCCGGAGCTCAGGGGTTTGGGGTTTTGGGATGTAGGGAGCTGGCACTGGGATAGCAGGGAGTATCTACGACCACGGAGGAGGACCGAGCCTCAAACCGTAAGCCCGAAGCTGCAGCCCCGTCCCCAACACTGAGACCGACAATGCCGGTTAGAGTTTAATGAGGGTAGCAGCTCATATCGGGAAGCAGCTGCTGCTGTCAGTTTGCATGAGCAATATCTGGAAGCTGTCGCTCGAACTATTCCAGAAGCCTGCACATACCTTTACCTCGGCAGCTATTGACCCCGATACCTCTAAGATGTTCAGCATTATACACGAAGTGTAGTAGAGCTGAAAATTCAGGGTTGAGGGATTGATGCTGAGGGTGATTGGAACGGCATGTGTCAGAGGCCCTGAAGCCCACGGTAATGTCCTGCACGAAGCGGAACTCGAACATGTCTTCTGGATCTGTTTCGACTTGGATGCCAGCCTGCCCGCTAAACGCTCAAGCCTTTAAGGGCTGCTACGGCCCGGGGCTGAGGAGGTTACGGTGACTCGCTACAGCTTGGACAGTGAATGCCAGTACTCAAGGGCTTTATCTTGACATACAAAGTGGCAGAGCTTTCTCCTACTGCGCACTACTCTGCCCGAAGCTTGGGCATTGGAGGCTGATCCCCAAACATTGAGGCTTTCGTGCCGGATGTCTACGTCATTACTACGCGGACACCAGAAAGAAAAGGAGTCTCCATGATGCTATGCACAACTGTCACGCAACGGACTTTTGGGCTCAGGAAACGGTCGAAGACTGCAGTAGTCTTGACAGAAGCTTTAATGGGGTTCAATCCCGTACGAACGGACAACCGAGTAAAAGCCTGTTCTGCCGTAGACCCGGCAGCAAGCTGCCTACCCTCAAGCTTGGACATCACGCAGATGAAAACCTAGGTGGCCTAGGCCACCGAACGTTTCGGCCTCAAGCCTTAAACCCCAAGATTCAACCCCAAAACCCTCCACTTTTAGGGTTTAGGGTTCAGGGTTTTTGGGTTTAAACCCCAATCAAACCCGAAAAGACGCGAACTGCGACTTGGGCCTTGCGCAGAGTGTCGGTGAACCTTCAACGGCTACGGGGGCTTTAAGGGCTGGAGGTTTAGCTTGGCGTAGGCTTCCGTTGCTTTAGGAGGGGTCCTTGCTATCTTCTGATGTAATTCAATTGTAATTCTGGCGCACTGAGTTCGGAATCGGTCTACATTGCCAGCGCGCGGCCAAGGCCACGAAAGGATTCAAAGCCCCAAACGCCCCGAACACTGACAGGGTATTGAGGTGCAGGTTTGGAATTAGGGGTTTTTTGCTAAAGGTTTGCGGCGTATGCAAGCCAAAGAGCGCATCGAAGAAGTAGCGGTTGTTGAGCCAGTCGGGCGGCTTGACATGCCTGGAGAACAGACGTTGCATCGCTAAGGTCGCAGAGCGTGGGTTGGGCCTGACACCTGCGCAAGCACTACAAGTCATACATTGTAATGTAGCTCTTGAATACATAATTGAAGACTGCAAGACCCACACACACAGGCAACAAACACAGACACAAACCGGGAGTAAAGTAAATTGACCAGTCTTTGGCCTTCGGGAGCGTCGAAGAAATTCCGCTTCACATTGCACTGCAAGCCCTAGAAGAGTAGTAACGACGCCCAATGCTTACACTGTAATAACAAAATCCCTACACCCTACGCCCTACACCCTATACCATAAATCCCTGAACCCTGTACCCTGCACCCCAAACCCACGTCGGCCGCCTTGTAGTACCTTCGACACGGGGAGTTCTCTAAATTTGCATCCCGTTTAGGGCTCTTTTTATAGGGGTGTTAGACTATTATCAGGACCTAAACTTTGGTTCCCTAAACCCTGAAGTTCCAAAGAACTTAAACCCTAAACCCGTAAACCCCTAACCCTAAACCCGTAAACCTTAAAACCCGAAATCGTAAGAAGGGAACATGACAACCGTAAACGGCCTCTCGATCTTCCGAGGCCGCCCTTCGCCGGCCTCCCCGAGAGGCTCTTGTAAAACGCTCAAGGCGTTTTTTGGGTCTTAGGCTTAAGGTTTAGGGTTTTTAGGGTTTCAGGTTAGGGCTATGGGTCTTTGGGGGTTTCACGTTTCAGGGAGCTTGAAGGGCCCAAGTACTAGTAGACGGTTTTGGACTTTAGGGTGCCGCTTTGGGGCTTTCGGGCAGGAAACGAGGAGAAACCACAAGTACCTCGCCCAGCCATTATTGTGCTTGACCACATCGTCTGCAACACGTACCTGGAGTGGAACGGGGCGGCGACGGAGGTGCAAAGCAGACCGTCGTGGTTCGAAAGCCGGCCTGCTAACAGCCCGCTGTACAGGAAAACAAGAGGGCTCGGAAAAAGGGTTCCTAGCCCGACCTTTGCGATCAGTAGTCACCCCACAGCTAACAGAGTACAAAAGGGAACAAGAAGTCGCGCCCTCAACGACAGCTCCGACTTCGTCAATGGCGTCGGCCCGGGCCCCTGCCTCGCCATGCTGGGTGCCGGAACACTGCAACATCAGAGCACCCATCTCAAGAATGCCCACTGTGTTCAACAGCGCTGCACCTTCCCACAGGCTGCTGTCCAGAATGAAGATGGTGCAGCACCTTTCGGCCTGCTTGGCCGCGCATGATGTAATGCGCCGTAATGGAGGCATCCAAGTGGTGTGCTATCCAGTCAATATGAGAACCGGGAGCAGAGCTGGCGGTAACTCCGTTTCAAGCTTGGCCGCTGTGATCTGCGAAGCCCCGGAGTACAGAAAGCCTGCCAGGACCACTCGAAGCTGAGCTTGATAGGTTTTGGGGCCAGGGCCAGCGCAGTGCTGTACCTCCGGTGAAGCAAAGGCAGCAAGGTCTGGCCTTTTTCGGTTCCTGTCGGTGCTTCAACAGCAATCACGTGGCTCCCAGTCCACAGCCGGTCACATCGGTCCAAGACCGCTAGGATGGGGATTTTGCGTGGATGGGATCT